TAATCGTCTGAACGGCCATTCTCCCCAAGCACGATCTGCCGGAAGCGCACAGCTTTCTTTACGACGTTCCTCCAAGGAGGATGAACACTGCGTGTAAACCCCACTGTGCGGTTCTGTTCAGGGACTCTGCAGGTCCTACTGTCCTCTCCCTAGGAAGGTGGGTGGTGGTGTCATTTTGTTTAAAGACAGCCTGGAACCGAGAAGGCACGGCCTTGGGGTTGGTTAGGTCTCAGCTGTGCCCTTGGGAAGGTAATAAAAGGTCAGGCAATGCCTTCCACCTCCCAGGAGCAGATGGCTTGTCAGTCCCTGCAGACCCCCCTCCACCACACACCCTTGCCTGTCAGGAGCCAGCAGCAGACTTTCACGGTTTAGGCCGAGCTGAGAACACGTGGCAGACACACAGCGTTCCCTTGGTTTCTGGACACCGCTGTTACAAGGATCAAGACGCACCCGGCTCCGATGGAGAAGTCACGCCTACTTCTGGGCAACGCCCAAGGCTTCTGTCCCGGTCTCAGAAACCCCGGGGCCAAGACAGCAGGGCACAAGCTCCCCCCTTTCTCCAGCCAAATCAAGTCCACAGACACTGCATCTTCACCATGAAGCTTGAAACCAGTCAAGCACTTTTTATTAAAAAAAAAAAAAAGGAAAGAAATAAAAAGTCTAATGGTAAGTATATAGTCTATACATGCTACAGCTAATTGTTCACCACCCCTCCCCCCTCACATTATATATCCTCGTCTATTTTCGTGTGTCAAAAGAAAATAAAACCACCACCAGGACGTGTCCGTTTGCCGAGGGGGACAGGGCGCCGAGTGTCCGGGGCTCTCCCGCGCCACCCTGTGCGCAGACGCGAGTGGCGGGCAGTGCCGAGCCCACTGTTCCTGGAGAGATGCAGAAACGGCCTCCTTACTCGGTGGCTCCCTGAAGCAGGACCTGTGGGCTGCAGCGAAGGTGACCGTAGCTCCGCACTGCCCCTGGGCGTGAAAGGGACGCTCTGAACAATGACACGGGCCCAGAGGCCCAGACGGGCACGCGGGGGGCGCGGGGGCCTTCCAGGCGCTTATTGCTGTGACAGGCCTGGCGGGGCACTGCCGGCGCGTGTCCACGGGAGACCTGGAAGTGAACTGCTGGCTGTGGCCCTGGGTTTGGCTTCTTCAAAGAAACAGAGACAGAGCCCCTTGTCCCGGCTGGAACCAGGAAGGCCTCCTTGGGAGCCAAGGACAGAGACGGGAAGGAGGGTGGGATGTTGAAGCTCAGGCGGGGCTCAGCATCCCGAAGGGGAGCGTCAGAAACGGATGTTACCCGGTGGGGCTGGACGGTCATGTCTGTGGAAAGGGTCCTCAGCAGGTGGTCTGAGTGGGCAAGGACTGGAGTCTCCTGGTTTTCACTCTGCAGAGTCAGCACCTTAGCAAGCTCGGAGCAATTCCTCCAGGTTACGGGAGGGCCAAATGCCACTCTTTTAGGCCACAATGACACCAGGTAATCTTTGGTCTACGGCACGGTATGGCTGTTTGCAGCAAAAGCCCTGAAGGATGGATGGGCCTGGACAACCAAGGGGGGCACACGACTGCCACGCATGGCCAAGGCTACGTGCCCACCGTCACAGTCCAAAGACAAGGGCAAGACCTCCCAGGAGCAGGCAGGTGGACCCAACACTTACAGACGCAGCAATGGAGGGGTGGGAGCCAGCCATGGACGACTCCCTCCTGATGTCAGGTGCCAGCAATTTGAGGGCAGGAGCACTCAGTGCTGGTACTGGGTCCAGGTCAAATAAATACTAGACTGTCTGTCCTTCAGGTCCTTCCAGACCTCGGGGAGACTCAGCACCTGCCCTTTAAGGTGGCGAGTTTGTTTCCCTCTGTCCCATTGGGAATGAGATCCCCGATGCGCACAGAAATATTTAAGGCCTAGAGTGCAGCGCAGGAAACCATGGCGGAGGCCCACAAAGATGGAGGCCTGACCTGGGCCCCGGGGATTCCTCTGAAGGCGAGGGCAGAAGAAGTGGTTCCAGCTTCCCCAAGTCTCAACCTGGGACAAGGACATAACCCCACCAAATGGGAAAGAAATTTTGAGCAAAAACTTTGAGCGAAGGCCTGTTTTATCAAGCGGTGATCCTAAAACTCATTTCCCACAGGCTTGGTGGCGCCCCATGATGTGAGATAACAGACAGAAAGCAAGCAGGGGTGGGGAAAGGAAACCCACCTTTGTCTGCCTTCCAGACTGGCATTTACCTGTGACCTACTGACCTGTAATTGCGGGGTGGGGGGAGGAGAAACTGAGTCAGAGGGAGGGTCCCTAAGTACCTGTCACTGCTGATGGCAGAGGAAGTCATGGGCACTAGGGAGGAAAACCCCTGGATTCGAGTCTCAGCTTGGTCACTATCACTATTGGGATGAAGCTAGGAATGTGACCTCATGCCCTGAAACTCAGTTTTCTTACTATCGACCGGGGCTGATCCCACGTACCGCACAGGGTTATGGTGAGGACCAAGGTCAAGGAGGAGCGTGTTTAAGCTCCGGTGACCTGCCGGAGCTTGGCATGGGGGCTATTCCCACGGCCCAGGTCATCTTCCACGGCCATAACTCCAGGGCAGTTTTGCATGTGCTCCCTCAATTGTTCACAGAATAGTGGCCACAGTCCTGGATGGTGTAAACCTAAGTCGACAGGCAAGGACAGCTAGGGAGGGCCACCGCCACCAAGACCCCCCTCCAGGTGCCCACCGCTGCAGCAAAAGGAGCTGAGGAGTCATCAGGACACAAGTGTATCCCGAGGAAACAACAGTGATCAGAGAGGAATGTGGCTTTAGTACCTTCAGTTCCCATCAGATTAATAATTAATAATAATAATAAAAATAATAATAAAGGCAAGTTTTCCCATGTGCAGGAAAATGTTCTGCGCAGAGAAAGAAAGAACCAGTCCACTCCCACCCAGCTGACCCTCAGGGAGAAGGAACGAGGTCAAAGACAAATTCTTCAGTGGAATCAGCAAACGAAAACCAAAGCTCCTACAGCCAGGCAGGGGGCCACGCGCAGGCTGCTCTGCCCAACGCCTAGCACGAGGTAGGCGCTCACAACATACTTGAAAAGGTCAATGGAAAGCAGAAAGTGAATCATAAAAAAAAAAAAAAGTAGAGTTTTGTCTTTTGAAATGTAGTCAAATCCTCCATGACAGCTTCACAAAAGTGGTTTAAACGAAAGTGGATCAAACACTCAGCAAAACACACGGCGGGGCCTCCTCCCAAGTGAGAGCCCATGAAGGGGTGGGTGGCCCTCTTTCAGCAGCCTCCCGTCCCCCCTCCAGGGTTCTGGGCATAGGGCCAAGGGGCGTGCAAATGCAGTGAGGAGCCCCCCTCAGAGCCCTGCCCCCTCCCGTGGGATTCCCGGGGATGGGACTTACAGGCTGACAGAAGGAATGAGATGGTTCTGTGGGTCTGAGGAAGCTCCTTCTCCTGTGGTGGGGTGGGGGAGGGGAGAGGGCCTTCGGCACTGCAGGTGGACATGGAGCATCCCTAGGAAAGCTGGCTGTGTGCTGCCAAAGCCTGCAGCCAATGAACCCCGAATCGGAGCCTCTGGGGCAGAACAGGGCCACTTCCTCTTCTGCAGGGCAGGGAGGGGCGCTGCCCACTCACCCTCCCCCACCCCAGGCAGCCTGGTCCACAGGCAGGAGCTCTGGACTGGGAGCTGGGAACCCTGGGTCCTGGTTCTAGTTCTGTTTGTGGCTGTGACTCGGTGTGAACCACACCATCAAAATGGGTGGGACGGCTGCCCTGGGCTCCTCCCAGCGAGACAGAGAGGGGCAGTGCAGGGACCAAAACCAACTGTGAGAGTGGAGAGGGGCCGGAAGCAGCAGCGGAGAGCAGCAGGAGGCATCGGCCTGGCCCTCGGGGCCTCGTCACCTGAGGGGCCGCTGCTGGTTTAGCTTGATGGAGAGCCAGCCGCTGGTCTTGGAGCCACCAGGGCCCCTCAGCTCCCTCTGCTCCATCAGCTCCATCCCTCAGGGACACCAGCACAGGGGCAAAGAACGGAACTTGGGCACACACGCTTCTCTCTCCCCGAGCCTGGTTTGCCTCTTCCAGGGTGAAGGGCACAGGGCATGAAGTCAGGCCGGCCTGGATTCAAATCCCCTTCCCCCACTTCCTAGCTCGTGTGCCTTGAGTACAGTATCACGAGGGTGGTTGTTAGGGTTGAACGTGAATGCCAAGTGCCACGTACAGGGTTTGGCCCCGACTAGCTACTCAGCAAAGGGGTGCTTAGAAAGGAGCATGGCTTGTTAACAGCCCCCTTAGCAAACCAACGTGGGGACAGACAGACGTGAAATGCCCCAGGGCTGGGCGGGGATTGTCCAGAGCCTGCGGTGAAGCTGGCTCCCGGCTTGGACCACCCCTTAGGACCCATCAGGCTCCCAAGACAGAAGATGAGAGGCAGACGGCTGAGTGGACCTCCAGGCCCATGTGTGGGGTGGCTGCATCTGGTCAGTGAGAGGCCCAGGGGCCTGAGGCCTCGGAGAGGATACCCCCTGGGCCGGGCCACGGGGCCCACTTCTACAGGGTGAAGTCCTTTCTGGTACCAGGCATTTTGGAAACTGGGTGAACAAAGTCACTGGCTTTTAGAGACGTGGAGAGGTGGAGCACGCTGTCACAGACGGACGGGCTGCCGGGGGACGGCCCCTTGCGATGCTGGGTCCCAGCAACGAGAAACCCTTTCTGCAGTTGCTCCGGATGGTGGGTTCCGGGCCCGAAGGCTGCTGGGTGGGTAGGGAGGCTGGTGGCAATGCCACTGGCCATCGGCCGGGATGCTGGGTAGAGAGAAGGCAAGCGCGTGGCCTCTGAGCCTCCAGGGGCTGCGGTGGCGGCGGGGCGGACTACCCACGGGAGGGAAGCAACCACAGTTCTCCAGAGCCTCCTTCCTTCGAAGCCGCGTGGAGAATGATAAATTAAGAGGCGTATTAAATAGGTGGGTAGGACCAGCAGGGACACGCGGGACCTCCAGACAGGGAGGGGAGGCTAGGGCTTCTTCCTGAGATAGTTGGAAGGAACCCACCCTTCCCAGGAGGGCGCCCCGCTGAGGACCTGGCAGAGCCACCAGCCACTGCTGTTCTTTTCCCGGACCTCAAACACCGTCCCCTCCTGGAAGCTGCTCGTGTCTTCATCTCCTTCGAAGTTGGCCACGGCCACATACAAGTCCTTCGGGCTGTCGGCACTGGGGACGGGGGCTGCGGCCACCTTCTCCTTGTTCTCCCCAATCCTGCCCGCCAGCCGTGGCCCCAGCCCACCTTTGCCGCGACTGTCATCTTGGCCCCCCGAGGAGTTGGAGAGAAAAGGTTTAGCTTTCGGAGGGACCAGCAGGGCCCGGCCTGCGGCAGGAGCTGCCCTGCCTTCACTGGCCTCCCACTGCGGCCCTCTGGCCTCCGGGAGGGGCCTGGGTGAGGAGGAGGTTTTCTTGGGGGGCGGTGGTCTGCGGGGCGGGATCACGGGTCTCTGCTGGGGTGCCTCTTGCGGAGGCACGGGCGCATTCTTAGGCACAGGATCCGTGCTCTTGGTGGGCCTCGGAGGGGCTCTGCAGGGTATCTCCTTCGGGCTGAGCCCGTCCTGTTTGCCCGTCCTGTCCGGAGCGCGACCAGGCCCCTCCCCCGGGAGGAAGGGGCGGCTGAAGGCCGCATCCTGGCCCCCGGCAGCCTGGTGGCTGGTCTCTCCATCCAGCAAGGGCTTCTCTTGGGCCTTGGCAGGCCTGAGCTTGCTCCTGAGGTTGCAGATGTCCACCTGGTCCTCGCCCTGAGGTGGCTCTGTCCTGGGAGAAGAAGCTGGTTTGGGCCTAACCTGAGGTTTGGTCTTCAGAAAGGGATTCTGGGGCATGACCTCCGGCTTCTCCTCCGGCGGGTCGGCTTTTGGTTTGGAGATGGGCCGGAGGTTGGGTTTCTTCACTTCCTTGGCCAGAACTTTATGGCCACACTCCAGCCCCATCTCATTTTTCAGCTGGAACTTGCTTTTGTCAGGTTTGGGCTCTGGCCTCCTGCCTTCCCGGGCTGGGGGGCTTTGTTTAGCTGGGATCATTGGCAAAATCACGCCAGGAGGCTTGGGCGAGGAGCCCCGGAGCTGCTCCACCCTCTGCCGCTCCCGCTCCTGCAGCTCCCCTTCCGACTTGATGATGGATTCCTTCCGGGGAGGGAGGCTGGGCTTCTCCTCCAGGTCGGGGTCCGAGATCTCCTCGTAGCCTGCGCACGACATGTCTGAAGACACCTTTTTCAGGACCTCCTTACCGCCTTTCCAGTCTTTGGACCACGGAACCCCAGAGTCCACAGCCCCGAGCGGCGCATCGGGCAGGGGCCGGGAGGGGCCCCCGGCCTCACTGCCCATGCTGCTCTCTACCGCTGCTGTATCCCCCAGCCGCAGCTGGGTCACCTCGTTGGGCAAGGGAGCCAAAAAGTTGGGTCTTGAGGCATTGCTGGTCTTCTTATACTTGTCAATGAAGGTTGCTGGGGCCCAGCCTTCCTTATCTTCAATCTGAATGTACCACCAGCCACTCAAGTTCTTCTCTATCACCTGGGCGGGGCGGGGACAGAGGAAAGTGCTTAATAGGTACGGTTCCAGAGCCAGGGGACAACGATGGTGTAGGAGACCCACATGCACCTGAGTCCCAGAAGCGGGGATTCACACTCAGCATGTTCCCAGACATCTATAGAGATGACCGTGTATCAGGAACATCTCACATGGGGGTAGTTCTGGTCTAACTTTAGATTTCCCCAGAAGCAGTCACTGACACATGGACATGGGCACAGGTAGTTAATTTGAGAGATGATTTCAGGAAGTAATAAGGGAGGAGATGGGGAATGTGAGGGCCTATTATGAGCAGGTTATTGCTCTGGGTCACTGGGCTTAATCCACTAGGCACCCAGAGCAATAACTTGCTCCGAGACACCATGCAGACTGCCCCACTGGGGTGGGGACATTTACCTCCACTCACAGTTCTGCACCCCAGGGATTAACTCCCCCTTTCTGGGCGGTACCCTCAGGCAACACAGGAGATAGGAAGCTGTAAGTTTTGGGGACCCGTATGCAGCGGCAGGTCAACTCAGGTGAGTGGGGATGTAGGGTGGGCCCCCAGCTGTGCCTGCTACAATTCTAAAGAAGCACAAGGTGAAGCACATAAGCGGCTCCAACTAGCCCTGGTCACTGCTCCTTTGGTTGAGCACCAGATAAAGGGGCTGGCTGGTGTCTATAGGCCATGCTGGATGAGAAATGCGTATCCTTAAACATGGGGACCACGCTCAGCTCATGTTTATACAGGGGAATTGACGCTGAAGGAGGTAAAACCAATTTTCATCTCATCTCCTCCCTCTGGGATACACACCCAGCGGATGTAACGGTGAGTGGCATCACCCACGACATTTGAGATTTTATGTTGCCTGTGGCATTTCGTTCAGTACCGTGTATCGGAATCCACGTGGGGTGAAAGGCACGCATGCTGCATGCTCTGAGCTGAACTGTATCCGCCCAAACTTCACAGGCTGAAGCCCTCGCCCCTGTACCTTACAACGTGACTCGATTTGGAGATCGAACCTTTTAAGAGGCAACTGAGTTAAATGGGGTCATTCGGGTGGGTCCTTGTAAGAAGAGATTAGGACCCAAGAGAACATACAGAATGAGGGGCAGCCACGTGAGGGCACGGGGAGAAGGGGCCATCTGCAAGCCAAGGGGAGAAGCCCCAGGAGGCATCAACCCTGCTGACACTCTGATCTTGGGTTTCCAGCCTCCAGAACTGTGAGAAAATAAATCCCTGTTGTCTGAGGCGCCCAGCCTGTGGTGTTTTGTGACGGCAGCCTGAACGGATTAATTTCGACAGTTCTCCAGCAGGGCCTGTGCTCAGGAGATCTGATTAACCTCACAACGGGCCCATGAGATGGGATTATGATCCCATCTTACAGATGCAGAAGCGAGCCTCGGAGAGCTGAGGACTCACAGAGGACCAAGCGCGTCCACGGTGGGAGTGGGAGGCAAAGGCAGCCTGGTGGGCTCTGAGCCCGAGCCTGTCCCACTCTCTGACCCTGTCCCGAAAGGGGGACCTGCCTGGCGAAGAGCTGTGCAGGGCGATAAAGTGCTGGGGGCCCAGCAGACTGCGGGGAGTTCCACTGCCGCACCCGGCACCCAGCACCCAGCGCAGGGAGAATGCAGCCACACGCCTGGCGCGGGCGGCGGGGGCTGGGCTCCCGGCCTGCAGTCCCGGGTTCTGGTTCTGGCTTCACCACCCACTGCCTGAATGGCCCTGCACAAACCACATTCCTGAGATTCCACACCGCACAAAAGAGATAGTAGTCAAAACAGTGACACCCACTTGCAGGGTTTCATGATGGCCACGCGAGCTAAGGCATACAATGGCACATGGCAGGTGCTGAAAGGTAAATGTCACCTATTATTAAATTACAGCAAAGATGACTGAGAGCAGGATACATGCAGCAGGCATACTCTTAAGTCCCACTGGATTCTCCAGAAAAGGGCACTGATAAATGCAAGCCCTTCACCTGAGGGTGACTAGCATCTTACCAACACCTGGTAACTATGGTAACAATTTAAAAAGATTCTGGTCATACAAGTCATTTGTGGGCACATCTGTGAATTCAACAACTCTAATACTAAGTATGAACAACAATCAAAATAAAATACATCAATGAGGATTTGCTAAGCTTATACTCTATGCAAAGTACCAAGGCAGAAGCTCTAAACATTTGTGTTCTTAATCGTGACTTATGGAAGTTTTCATTTACTAGAGAGAAGCTAAGCGCTGTAATGAATAAAAGCAAATGCAAACTCAAAAGAATGAGGAGGAAAGAAAAGAGCCTGGTCTTTATAAAACCAGAGAGACCCAGGTTCACATCCCAGCTCCACTACTTACTAGCTACGTAACCTGGAGCAATTTATCTAACCTCTCTTTGTCTCAGGTACATCTGTAAAATGGGCTGAAGATACTGACCTCTCAGGACTTCTGTGATGATTAGTTACTAAATACGTAAGGTACCTGGCACAGAGAGGTGCCTATATCATCATCATCATTAAACATGTAATGAAGATACATGGGTTAGGCAAGGCATTAAGTGTGCCTAATAGCTCCACTGCTAGAACACTGTGGTTCCAGTAATGAATTCCGAAGGCTAACGCAATGTTGAAATGAACCAGGAAGAAAAACTGGAGACGAGGAAAATAGAGGATACAGAATTTATCATAAGAAAAAAATACTTGGCTAAGCCAAAAACTCTGTATAATACTATTAACCAGTGTTGCCACAATAGATTAAAAAAAGAATCACAGGTAGGCAAAGGGACACCGGGTCCACTCACCTCGACCTTCAGACCCGCCTGGAAACTGATGCCATCAGGGATGGTTGTCTGGAATTCAGCAATGGTGTAATACTCTTCCTCCACTTGGGGTGGGATGGGGGGCTTGGGCAGGTTGAGACCCCGAGGCTAGTATGATTAAACACAGTGCTAAGTCCAACGTAAATCCATCACCAAGGTGCTGAAGGATGGGAGTGGCGAGTGCTAAGGGACTGGGGCACACACCCATCCTCAAGGGGGGGCTGGTGGACGGACCCATAGGTCAAAACAAAGAGGACCACTCAGATCATCTCCTAGATGGGTCACTGGCCCTTCAGCTTTAGAGCGAAGAGAAGAAACATTTGCCAAACAATCATGAAAATTTAAGGCGAGACAATATTCTCTGAACTTAAGAGGCAGTGAGGGTTGTGGAAAGAACACAGGTTTGCAGGTCCGACCCATCTGGGTTAGAAATACTGATTATGTGTATGACTGTGGACAAACCACGCCCCCTTCTGGAGCCTCGGTTTTGCCCCCTGAAGAATGGAGATAATAACAGGATCTACCTGGCGGGGTCGCTGTAAGCATTCTGCAAGTGAATGTCGTGAAGCACGCAGCGCCCTGCAGGGCGCCCAGCAGGTGCTCGCTGAATGGCAGACATTAAAAAAAGATGACCCACTTGTCAATGTATTGGTCAGAAAGGTACCTAAACAATAAAAATGTTGTATGGAAGTAAAATACCGGAATGGCACCACAAATAGTACTTGTGCCTCATCGCAGCTTCAGTCCCAAGTTAGAGAAGACTGCTGAGACCAAGACAAGGGCCCAGCAAGCAGAGGACACATGCTGAGGCCTAACTGTCCCAAAGCCACAGGCAACGTGTCTTCCCTCCTGTTAATGGGATGGGCACTGGTCCAGCCTGCTTCACGAGCATCTTTGAAAAGGGCGAGGTATGTGCGAGGGGCTAGTTTCAGGCCAGGGGCTGGCTCCCAGGAGCAAGGGTCCACTTACTATGGTCATATCCCGGCGAGGAGGGGGTCTCTGCCTCATCTTGGGTGATCCTATAAAGAGACGAGACCTCGTTTCAGACACATGCAGAATTCTACAGATAAAATTCCTGAGGTGGACACCAGGAAAGATGTGTCCCGTCCTGCACATGAGGCGTCACGCCCTGCACAGGGGTTAGTGAGCTGCTGTGACCCTTCCCTCGAGAAGGGCTGGATTCAGGAGGAGCTAGTCAGACCTGGCTCGGGAGAGCGTATGCAGAAGCACTGGAAAGCTCTCCCGGAAGGCACAAGTGTAGGCTTCAGGACAACGCAGAGGCGCGCTGCAACCAGTCATATGACTCGGAGCCATGAGGCCCTCACTGAAGGGGAATAACGCCTGTCTCCCAGGGGCAGCGGCAGAAAGTCAAACATACATGTGAGGCTCGTGAACAATGATGTGTGATGGCAGACATGTCATAAATGTTACTACCCCTGGCTTTATGCTTTAGAACAAACCCAAATTAAATAACATGTAAACAGAACCAAACAAACTTGGGCTGATGACTTCAGGAGTTTTTTACTTTGGAGCTTGGTTGCCCTCATTCTGGGTCAGGGGCAGGAGAATGACTCTGCAGTGGTCCAAGGCTCCAGGCTAAAGGCTGAATATGGAGAAAGGCAGCCCAGGGTTGCCAGAGCTGGTTTAGTATGGGTCTACACAGAGGGGTAGTTGGGCAATTGGAGTATGGAGATGACTGTGAATCTCTAAAATAACCATTTCTCCTGTCTTCTATTAGAATAAATAGTAAGAGAGTTTTAGCCAGACACTTAGCTGCCTATAGAAAGACTACATTTCCCAGACTCCCTTGCAGCTAGGTATTGCCATGCAACTAAGTTCTGGCCAATAGGATGTGAGAGAGGGGGACTAATGTAGTTTCCGAGTTGAGTTAGCCACTTCTCTTTGCTTCCTTTTCATTGGCTGGACTAGTGGTGAACCTCCTAGACTCAGTGTATGAAGGCCACACACACAGATGCAGCGCAACAAGTTTCTTGACTGCATACAGTTGCCACAGCAGCCCTGGACGTACAGCTGAACTCTTTTGTAAGAAATAAACATCTAAATTATCTGAGCCACCGTTATGGGGTGTATGTATGTGGTGGGGGGCAGGTGTCTTTGAGATTCTGAACCTATCTCAACACGAGGTTTCAGATTTTCCTCTGCTCCTCTAGGTTAATGGGAACCCTTCTGTGCTCTTGGCCGTGAGAAATCAGAATCACAGAAACTAGGTGCTGGACAGAACCCCGGCCACGGCTTGTCCGTGCTTTCTCAGAGCAGTTAAGCAGACAACGTGAGAAGTTCTTGGACTAAAAGAGCCACTATAAACAACTGGAGAGGCTCAGCCAGGAATAAGTGACTTCATCCTCATGCTAATAGGAAGTCCTTTCCCAACAGACAGATTCCTCCTGCTCTGAACCACCAGGTCAGGGCTGCATGCCTGAGGCTGGAGTCCCGGGGATGCAGCAGACAATAATGAACCCAACCCTCGGGTGTGCTGGGAATATTAAATGGTAACACATACATGGCGAGGATTCAAAAAGCAAGATGGATAAAGAAATGTTGTTGAAGTAAACCCAACCTAAAAGGGTCAACTTTTTCTTCCTCTGGCTCAGCAATGAGGTCATGTAGAGAGAACACTGGTGCTGGAGTCAGACAGGCCTGGGTTCAAATCCTGGCCCCACCATTAACTAGCTGGGGGGGGGGGGGCTTGGACAAACCACATAATTCCTCTGTTTTCTAATCTGTAAAATAAAAGTATTAAGCCCCTCCAAGGCTGTTATGAGGAGACAATGAGACGACGCAGGATTCCCGGGACACAGCAGGGGCGTGAGAAACCAGCTCTCTCGATCACGAGATGGGGATAACCTGGGGAAGGAAAGCAGCATCTCCATTCAGCTCTGCACCTTGCTGGCTGGAGGACCTGCGACAAGACACTCGGGTTTCTTATCTACAGGGTGAGGGACCGCGTGTGAGGAGAACTGAGCAGGGCCTCGCACACTAGCCCCCATCCTCCAGGACCTGAGTGGGTGTTACTCACTCTGCTTGACGTCGCCGTCCGGCACCGGGCGGCCTTCCGAGCGGCCGTCCCTCTGGTTGCTGAGCAGCTCCTTCTCCCTGCCCACTGAGTTCTGCGGCCGGGAAGCTCCATCCAGGTCAAGGACGCCCACGTGGGCAGATGATGAGCCGGGGCCCAGCTTCGGGGGTAAGGGCTCCCCGCTGCTCTTCTTTAGGTACGAGGCTGGGGCCCAGCCCTCCTTGCCCTGGAACCTGGGGGGGGGGGGAAGGATGCTGGTCAGGCTGGTCTGCCAGGTCCACGGGAAGAAGCCACACTCCTACTGTGGATCACACTTTGGGGCCCAGATGGCAGGAACAATGGGCCACAAGTGCCCAGGGCCAGAGGCTGGCACCCCCTTGCTGCCTCCTGATGAAGCCCTCAGAGCTCAGTGTTCAAGGCCTATCCACCCCGGCCTCTGCTTGCCTCCCACTCGTCCCTCACGGCAACCCCCACGCCCCACCCACCCACTCGGCCTGCAGCCTCCCACACCCGCCCCCGTCTTTCAGCCCTCAGGTCCTTGCTCTTGGAGCCCCTCTGCCTGCAAAGCCCCTTCCACTCTCCTCCCTGCTTCTCTTTCCCAGCTCTGCTTACCACCATTCCCTCTCTCAAGCCTTCCCCGAGCCTCACGGAGAACGAAGCCCCCCCATGGTGCCCCCCTGCCTGCACCTACCACAACCCCAATACCTATAACAACTCCACTTGGCAGGCCCGTCTCCTCAGCTAGAACGCGTGCTCTGGGCAGGGCCATGGCTGAGCCATCTGTGTGTCAAGGGCTCAGCGCCAGTGAGGTGGATAAATAAAAGGACAAGTGGACAACCTGCAAATGGGCTTGGCAAGGGGGAGTTGCCTCCGCTCCAGTTGCTGTCCCCTCACAGCTATCGCTGCGATGACAACAGGAATGATAACTGGTCCTCAGAGGGCACTTCCTGTCCTGTTCTATGTGCTCCAGAGCTATTGATGGTCTCACCCATGCAGAGCTGGGAGGTGGCAGGCAGCTGCCACCTGTCTGTGCTCCCCTGCCCCCTCCCAGCAGCTCCAGGTCCGGGACGGGAAGGGTGGGGCTCTGCTCACACTGGCTACATGTGCACTCGATGGGAACAAGCAAGTTGGGGCTGGTTCCTGGTCTTACCAAGGCCCAGCTGGGTGTCACTGAACTGCGGGGTGACCAAGACCCTGACAGACCAGCTCACTGAATTCCCTTTAGAATGCAGTAAGTACCATGATCATTTCATTCTCTGCATGGAACTCAGTTTACCGGCATGACCCAAGGGGATGGTCTGCACCTCAGGTGTCCTAGAGCCACTCACACTGCTTGTGGCAGTCAACTGCGCCCTCTCTTCCGAACTCCATGTGTAGTGACATCGCACCGGGCGCTTGAAACTGACCGTGGTGGGAGTATCTGTGCCATGAAAACTGGCAAACCCAACTCAAGAGCATTTTCCCCTCGGAGAGTTGGTGGTCAAACATCTACCTGCACCCCACGGGTCTGGCTGGAAACACCGGTGCCACGGCTTTGGGGGGGTGGACCCACCTAATCGCCCAGCAGTGATACAGGACAGGGCCAAGTGCCTTGTCAAGAGTTACTTTAAGAACTAAAGAGCACTGTGTTTAAATGGAAAATAAGATCCTTCATAACTGAAAGCAAACTGATAAGGAGACAGAAATCCGCAGTTTGGTGTCTACCATCCTTAAAATACCCACGCTCTGAGCAGAATCGATCTTGTCTAGGTTGGAAAATGTCATGCCGAATGCAGTCCTCACCCTCAGTGTGAGGCAGTTCATCTGGGGGCACAAACCACAAGCAGAGAGGCAACACACGCAGTGGTGGGGGGCTCTGGGGTGAGGAAGGTATGGGTTCAAACCCCGACTTGCCACTTTCTAGCTTCCGCGAGGCCTGCAAATGACCGCAGCCCTCGCTGACATCATGCTGCAGCCTCGGGAGGAACCCGGCGCCAACCGAGCCATTCCCGACTTCCAGAGCCACCGAGTTTCAGGATGATTTGTTATGCAGTAAGACAGCATGTGTAGTCAAGATGTCATGTAGCACTGTCATCACTCCTTCAGACACCTCAGTTCTGAGGTTCCCCGCCCTCAGGACGCCTTCCTGTCCCCCGGGCTCGGAAGCCCGTCCTGCGCTGCAAACCCCTGTGCATCTCCCCAACACGGCGTGCGTCACCCTGGCCTGGGACGGCGCACGAGTCTGTCCTCCGCGCCTGCTGGTGTCAATTACTGTGTCTTTCTCACCGGTGATTCCCCAACTCCCAGAACAGTGCTCAGTCCAGAACAGATTCCTGGAGTGTGCTTGCTGAGTGAATGGATCAAGTGCCACATGTAAGTAGCCCTAATGTCCTGTCTCGCGTTACAGCAGAGACGCTGGGTCACAGGGACCTCAGACTTCCTCTCTTGCCCTAATTTCCTGTGGTCACAGTCTGGCTACTAGGGTGAGCAAGGAGGGGGTTCCCAGAACTCATTACTGAACCTGGGAAAGCACCAGGCAGACCAGCAGGAGTTGGCACTCTGCGTGCCCACGGGGTTCCGGTGGCACCACACAAGTGAAGGAGCTGTGATAAAGCTGTGGAATGCCCTCACCAGTGGGCTCTAGGAGTTTGCAGACCGTGTGGGGTTATGCACTGCACCGGTCTCAGAGCGGGACTGGAGCGGGACATCACACACACGGCCGCTCAGCCTCCAGTTACTTGTTAAGAACATCTGGAGGTAGAGATCAGTCTTGCTCAACAAGGTTACTGCTGTTTGTGGTTCGTTGTGTTTGGAAAAGGTTTTGCTTATTAAGGATTTTTAGAGAAGGATCTGAGTAGGGAGGGAAGCCAAATGGCATGGAGGAGAAGCATCCCTTTATGACTCAGGCCGAAATCTCACTCCATCTGCAACGGCTTAGAGACCTCTGTGCAGCTGGAGCCCACGTGACCTGAAACCCACCCGGCTGCAGTGGGTACCTGATCTTCCACCAGCCTTCCAGGTTTTTCTGAATGACTTCCACCATGGCCCCTCTCTCCAGGTTCATTTCATCCTGATCACGAGCCGTGTACGGGTAGATGACTGTGTACTTCTCCTCTGCAGGGACAAAGGGATGATGGGGTAAGTCAGGGACACTGAGGGTTTCAGGACACTGATGGCCAAGGGCGTGATCCGTGAGATGTCCTTGCCCATCAGAGGGAAAGATTTCCTCCAGAGATTTCTGTGCATCTCCCAAGCCCTCCTCACTTAGCCCCGGATGACCCTGCGCAAGCAGAAATAGGACACTGGACCAAGGGCAGGTCCGAATCCCTAGTGTCACTCATTCCTCTACCTTCTTCAACTCTGTGCTTCAAGGTCACCTTCCATGACCTTGCCTTATGCAATGTTCAAACCCACCACAACCTCATCCCCCTTACCCAGCTTCATCTTCCCCCTTACCAGGAATTATGTCCTAACACCCCATAAACACACTTATTTATGGGGTTTGGGTGTTTGTCCTGCTAGAATATGAATGCCCTTGAAGGCAGGGATCTGGTCGGTCTTGTCCATTCCTCTGTCTCTAACACTGGGTATGACAGAAATATTTAGAAACTGTTTAGTAAGTGAACGGTTCCGGAGGCCTGGCGGGAGACACCCTGCTCACGCCAGAGGGGGCTAAACCCTCTGCGGCTCCTCCTTAGTTCTCGCTCGGGGAGGGTCAGGGATGTGCGAATCCGCCAGCTCCCGGTCTCCGTCTGCAATCACTGCCAAGGACACTACCAGCAGTCTCACGACCTAGCTGGTAACCGATCTTCATTTTCCATTAATGACTTTCAGCCCCTGAATCCAACCATGCCTGAAGTTCAATTTCATGTTTTAAATTAATTTTTTTATTAAGCTATCTAATCTTGACATCTAACATTGTACTATTTTTAGGTGCACGGTATAACGATCGTATCTATAGCTATACAAATAGAGACCTCACAAAATGAATGCCTGGTTCCACTTTCATCAATGTGACTGGGGTGTCTTCCACACCCCCCTCTGGTTTCCCGCTCCCTCCCCCAAAGCCAGGGGACCGTCCCTAGGGGCCCACCCTCCTCTGAGAGCTGCCTTCAGCTGTGTCCCTCCCACGGCAGGGGCCTGGGCCCTGTGGCAAGGGTTGTTTCTCGTCTAAGGCAGGGCCCTCCAGAGAGCAAGGGAATAGCTCCTGTCCCCAACACTGTCGGCAACGACTGCTGAGCCAGACATCAGCTGAGTGTCCCAGGGCACCCCTGCGGCGAGGAGAGGGCTTTCCTGTTTTGGTTGCATCCCAGCCCCCAGGGAGTAACTGAGCCAGCTGTGTGGACGGTTAGTGTGCGGGAGCTGACTCTCTTTGGGAAAACACCGCAGTCTGTCTGTGGCCTGCCCAGCTGGTGCAGAGGGAGGCGGAAAACACACAGGGTGTTTATTTATTTATTGATCTAGCCCACTGACCTGCTCCATGGGGGCTCAGCTGACTCAAATTGCACATATCCTGTGTACAGCCGAGTCAGCTGTTCTCCTTGCTCAGGGAGGCTGCAGGGTGGGTGGTGGGGTAATTCAACCCTGCCTATGCAGAACTGGTTTGGTTGGGTCCCGGACTGCGGGCAGTTAGTCCTACAGGCCCTGGACCCCTGGGGCCGGCACCCTTGAGCTGAATCGAACAAGGGGATTCTCTAGCACCCAGAGGCCTCTGTGGGCTCCACGGGACACTCAGTGATCCCTAATAAAGCTCAAGGTATACACCCTTGTAGACTGCACAGCGGGTGCCTGGTGGCACTATCCGCCTCCGTCCACATGGTTTGAGTGAGGCTGACTTCCCCAGCTCCTGGAGGGTTGTGTGACCCTTGCCTGGCATCTCCTGACCACCATGATTGGTTCAGGGACGGCGTATGACTCACGCGTGTCATTTGGAACCTGTCCTAGGATATGTGTTGAAGGAGAAACCCTTTCTTTGGTGGGTGTCCCTGAAGGGTGCCTGGCACTATTCTTGCCATGAGAGTGGTTCCCACAAAGTAGAGAGCGGAGCAGAGAGGTGGCAAAACTATCAGGCCTCCAGGATGTTTTCAAGCCCCTGGATCCAGCCATCACTGAAGCTAGCCCTACCCTGGACTTTTTAGTGATGAGTCAATATACTTCTCTTCTTGCTTAAGCCCGTCTGACATGGGTTTTTTTTCCTTGCAACTCAGATGTGCCTGACAAAAGGAACAGGTCAGTGGCTCAACATTACAGAGGCCCCCAGACATCCTGTTTTACCCTGGGAACCTTTAAGCCCCAGGCTCCCTCCTCCCAAACCTACATGCCCACACACACGGCACAGACAAGGTCACTGTTTCTCACATGCAACAGGCACAGGCTGTCCCAGAGCTGGGAGGCGCATGCAGATGCAAGGACCCGGCTCCACACCCCACACGGGGAAGAAAACTCCCAGGTAGACACCTTGACGCCCGCTGATGGCATACAAGTCGCCCAGGGTCCGGCGGCGGCCCACGGGCCGGGGCAAAGACCAGTACCTCCACGAGACTGGACAGGCAGCATGTGGAGGCGAAGGGCAGAAGGCACAGGTGAAAAGAAAGCATGTCCAGGTCTCCAGGCCAAAGGGGCACCACGCGCGTGTCCCACGTAAGAGCAATTATTTCTGGGTCTATGCAGAGCCGGGTGTCCCACAAGGACCACATTCTGGAGTGTTAACCTGAGACCCGAGTGAAGCAGCACTGAGTGGACATAATTCTGTCCCTGGTGTGATCACAGAGGCACCAAGAGAAGCCCGTGGGGCAGGGGGAAGAAAAATGTACAAACCCTTGGGAAAATGTGGTCTCTCCTATCTACTAGCTGTGTGACCCTGGGCAGGTGTCTCTACCTTTCTGAGCGTGTTTTCTCATCTGTGAAATGGGGATAACAACCAGCCCCTCACAGAGGCATGACGTGTGGTCGCCCTTAACTGTCTAGGGAAGCTAGTTTCCTCGCAGTACACCACGCCCCTAACCTGAGTTGATTCTGCAGTATTCCCGTGTTAGCCCAGACCCTAGCGCCTCCTGGGCTCCACAAACACCAGGCAAAGCGACAGGCATTTTACTCTGAGGGTCACTGGCCATATAAACGAATATAATTCTTGTGCTAACCTTTGAGCACAGAAATATCCCGCTTCTTCTCACCCTCTGCTCTGGTGAACGCATATTTGAGTGGCTTTGTGCTTTCTCAGAACAGTCGAGAAGCCCCAAAGGCTCGATCCCAGGCAAGCCATAGCTCTATGATAATAACTGGTCCTCGTTATTTATTCTTGTCTTAGGTCCTTTGTCACGAGCTTCGCGTGTGGGATCTCATTTAACTAAAAAGCAAAGCCCATGCTGCAGGTGTCGTTTCCATTTCCTAGAGAAAGTGCTTGAGTTGCAGAGACACGAAGTTGCTGGCCCCGGTTCACTCCGTCAGGAGGTGGGGAGCCGATTCAGGTCTGTCTGACTCCGAATCCTTCTGTTTATCAGCTAAGATGAACCCAAACTCTAGTTTTAGGAATGCTTTTGGAGGGAAGGGAGTCAGGTGGGCCTTAGTGCTGTGGAACCACCCACGGGGAAAGTTCTCTGGGGAACGGAAGTGTGTGTGGGCGAGTGAAGGGGGTCAGCCCTCATCCTGATGTGCAGTCAGGGCCATTCATCCAGCAGAAGCAGCAGAGATCTTTACAGATGGCTTCCGGTGTCCTGCAAATGAGCTGGACGCAGCCCAGTACCGCGGCCGTCAGAACAACTCAAGGGAGGGAAGATGATCGTGTTGACAGCTCCCAGGCTGGGGGCTCCTGGGGTTCCATGGAGGTGTCAGGGGCCCAGCTCCAGCCGGTACACCGGGGTGGGCTCCCTGAGGAAGGGCAGGCTTGCCCATCAACCCTGACCCCATGCCTGGCTTCCTGTCCACAGGCTACTTGGGGGCAGACGTGAAAAAAAGGGACTGCGTGAGGAGGCCCCCACATGGGTGACGGCCAGCACAGGGCTCCCCAGCAGGTCCGAGGCCCGAGCTCCCGCTTACCTTCCTCGGGCTGTAGAGAAAACTCGTCCTGCCCACCATCCTGCCCTTCAAGGCAGGTCGCAGGGACCCAGCCTTGCTCTTCAGCGGTGCTGACGAACCACCAACCTGGGGAACGAGAGCAGATGCTGTGAGCTGGGTCAGGTGTGAGGTCCGGCGTGAGAGCGCAGGAATGTCCGGGCGCTGTGTGCGGCCGCACTCAGGCGAAGGCTGGAACGGCACCGTCCTATTGGAACACAGCTAACGTGTCAGTTGCCCGCTAACTGGTGAAGAGGGGGCAGGGCAGGGAAAGGTCATCCTGAAGGCGAGAGGAATTCACTGAGGGGTGCCGAGCACCAATCACCGTCCTTGCATTGTCTCACATCATCGTCACCTTATCACATTACCGTCCTCACCGCACAGATGAGGAAACTGAGGCATGTGCCCTGGGCTGTCTGCCACTGCGGCCCTCAGACCCACCCTGATTCTGTATCTGCTCATGTCAAGCTCAAGCTGGCTGCAGATGCAACCCTGACTCAGGCCCTGCCTCTGCAGAGGTGGAATAATGACCCACCAAAATAATCCACATAATCCCCGGAACCTATGAATATGCTAAATTAAGTGAAGATTGCAGATGGGATTAAAGTTGCTAATCTGCTGACCTTCAAATAGGGAGATGATCCTGGATTATCTGGGTGGGCCGGTGTAATCACCAGGGGCCTTGACTATGGAAGAGGGAGGCTGGAGTCGGGGAGATGTGGCTGTGGAGCAGCACAGAGGGGCGCCACCGCTGGCCTTGATGATGGAGGACGGGCTGCTGCGCACGCTCTCTCTCTCTCTCTCTCTCTCGCACGCGCACGCACACGCGCACGCACACATGCACACACGCACGCACACCTCGCTTTATGCTGCTCTTGACTGCACTTTGCAGATAGTGCCTTTGTGCATCGTTTACAAACTGAAGGTAAGATCATCCACCAGCAAAAAGATTACAACTCGATGAAGGCTCACACGATGGTTAGCATTTTCCAGCAATCGATTTTTTTTTTAAAATCCTCACCCGAGGATATTTTTCCAAATATCTTCAGATAGAGTGGGATGGGGAGAGAGAGAAACATTGATGTGAGAGAAACACATTGATTGGTTACCCCCCGCGTGACCCCAATGGACGAACTACAACCGAGGTATGTGCCCTTGACCAGAATTGAACCCAGGACTCTTTGCTCCGTGGGCCGACGCTCTATCATTGAGCCAAACTGGCCAGGGAAGCAACTGATTATTTTTAAATTGAAATCTGTACTTTTTAAAAAAAAGGTATAATGCTATTTCACACTTAATAGGCTATAGTATGGTGTAAACATAACTTTTATAAGCCTTAGGAAACCAAAAATGTGTGTGGTTCACTTTATTGTGATATTTGAGGCATTTGCTTTACTGTGATATAGAACCAGGCCTGCAATATTGCGGAGGCATGACCGTACGCATGAGCACATGCACACACACACACACACACACACACACACACACACACGTGTTGCGTGCACACAATTATGAAAAAGAATCCATACCACCCTGACAGAAGGGCTATCTGGGGTTTGGAAAGGGGACTAGGGTTGAAGCTAGTGGGAAAAAGATTTAACTTTATCACGAATGCTTTAAGAACATATCCATGTATTACTTGGATAAGTAAAAATTACAGAATTAAAAATAAGGATTGCCAGTTTGTTGGTCACCTGAAGATTTGAATATCTGCCCTCCCCCCGCACCGGGACATACCAGGCTTGTCCCCAACCCCCATCCTGGCTCCTACTCTTCTCCTGCAATGCATTCGTTCTGACTTGACTCAAACAGGTGGCCCAGGGATTGGTGCCACTTTCTTTAGTCCCCAGGGGCATCCAAGCCACACCAACAGCCTGCAAATACGCATTCCCAGGAACCAGAAAGTCACGTGGCCTTCTGGCCAGCTGGAATTGGTTTGAACTCCAACTCAGCATCCGGTCGGGAGATCCTGGGCAAGTGATGAAGTCACTTGGAGTCTTGGTTTTGTCAGCTGTGAAGCAGGCATAACAACTGGTCTATTGAAAAATGAAGAACTTCTGGTTGCCTAACCCTGATCTCATGACGAATGGGAACTTAACCCACATGCTGCTAGAAACACAGCCTTTCCACTATTTGCTGGACCTTAACTAGCCATCGGGGTACCACAGAGATCGGTCTGCTACTGACACTACAGCCAACGTCACATTTCAGTCAAAACAAAGCCAGTAGATTAAAGCCACTTTTTCCTAAAGAGGATCCCTCACCTCCCGCTCCCCACTCTTTGCCTGCAATAGTGCCAATGGCTGCGGTGTGGCCAAGGAAGGCAAAAGGGAAGGAAACTCACATTTTCGAGCACCTACTGTGTGCATTCTCTATATATTATCGCACTTAATCTTAACAACAGCCCTTGGGAGCAGTTTTCTTCATTTCACAGACGAGAGACTTGAGAGACTGCCATGAAGTGCAGAGTTCAGATGGAAACCCAGGCTGCCTCGATCGTACCCCATTCTGCCCCAGACCCGGCCAGAGCACGTGCCCAGTGGTCCCTGCGATGGGCCGATGCGCTGAGGAGACAGGCGGTGTGTCCAGTCCACACCACAGCCCACAGCAGACGGAGCCTTCGTGAAGACTCCCGTGGTAATCACAGAAAATCAACAGAGCACATTTTCAGTGGAATGCTACACCGTCTCCACATGTTTTGAAACCAGACGGAATGTTTGTGAAACGTGAACCTCAAATCAAATCGGTACCATCTGACTCAACAGGACGCTGGAGAGTTGTGACCAAGCAGGATATTCGAGCACTGTGACCAAACACAGGCAGCTTTCTGGAGGCATCAGCTGGACCTGCGGAAACTGACCAGCTTGGATTCGCTACTGCAGTTTCTGTGCTCCAAGGTTTCCCGTCCTCGGGGCTCGGGGAGTGTCGGGTGGGGAAGGAGGCGGTCCAGGGGCCTACCTGACTCGTTCTTCTCGATGATGTCCACCACTTGGCCCACGCTGAGGCTGATCTCTGAGCTCTCCTGCTTCTGGTAGTCTGCGACCACCACGTACTGCTCCAGGACCATGGGGTCCACTGAGGTCGGGTCACTCCCTGTGGATACAAAACACAATCAGATGTCACGTCTGGCCACCACCCATGTGTGAAGGAGCAGGACCCAGAGGAGTAGGGTAGGTCAGGAGGACATTCTCAACAGAGAAAGAAGCTGAGAGGACTTGCCTCATCCATTCATTCTTGTCTCCATTTGCTCACTCAACCACCACAACTGAGCAAGCGCCTGTCCTGTGCAGGCACTGTGCTAGGCACTGGGAGTTCAGATTGAGACACGGTACTTGCCCCGAAGAAGCAGACAACCTACTGGGGAAGTCCATTCATCTATTGATCTACCCACCCACTCAGCATCAGCCACAGTTCACCCATCCCTCATCCACCCAGCCAAACATCTGGGTAGCCATCATCCATCCAACTAAACATCCATTCATCCACCCACACTGTCACCAATCCTTAAGCTATTCAACATCACTCATCTAGTCATTCGTGAAGTCACCGATGATATTCCAGACACTCTACCAGGTGCGAGGGCACAGAAGCGACTGAGACAGGTATGACTCCCAGCCTCATGTAATGCAATCTAGCTGGGGTGACAGACACAGACACAAGTATATGTGATCCACAAGCAGACAGGAAAAAAAAGTATTCGTTTTTGATAGATGTATTTCTGGAAACAAAGGCTGAACAAGATGGGGGAGGCTACGTTAAATGGGATGGCCAGCAAGACCTCCCAAGGAGGTGACATAAAACAGAGACCCGAGAGACAAGGAAGCATGAGGACGATGGGGACAGAAGGGTGCCGGCAGACTGTGAGGGGGGAAAGGGCTTTCCAGAACCTGGGTGGCTGGAGCCCAGAAGTGAGGACAGTGGTCCTCACAGGGGGGCACGGGTCAGAGCAAGTGGGCCAAGGCAAGAAGTTTGGGCTTTACCCCTGAAGAAGAACCATTAAAGGGTTTTAAGAAGAAAGTGACACATGAAGATTTGCATCTTTAAAAAGATCACTCTGGCTGCCACATGGAGAACGGATGGGAGGCTGGCCAGAAGGAAGGCAGGACACCAGACGGAGGTCATGCAGCTGTCAGGCAGGGGAGGGGGAGAGGCGCTCTAGAAGGGCCGTGTCCACAGGACGCAGTGGATGGGGAGTCGTGCAGCCCTGGTTAAGACACATCTGACACATTAATGAAAAGATACCACAGAATACCAGTGATGTAAAAGGTCAGGGGAGTTTGGCCACTCCTAAGAGAAGGGGACAACACTCCCAGGGCAGCAGGCTGGATGTGGTGGGAGGGCAGCGTGACATCTGTGGCCACAGGACCCTGGTGCTCTAAGTCCCAGTTCAAAATATTCCCTTCTATTGTTCCCATAAACCACAGAACCACCCAGGAAACCCCACACTTCTGTTCCAGATGCTCCAGCTGTGGCGGGGATGCGAGGGCCGGCTCACACTGAGCCGATTCTGTGCACCCCTTCCCAACCCTCTGGGGTGGCATCTTGTTGCTCGCCTGAAACTGGCCATGCTGGAGCATTTATACCATGGAAGTTGGCGAATGCTGCCAAGCAGGGTGGCCACCCGAGCTGGTGGTGAGGTCTTCCCCAGAACGCCCCCGCACTCCGGCCTCTGCATCGAGAAGCAGCACAAAGGCCTCTACTAGAACCGGGCCCTGAGCATGCTGACGTGGAGAACAAGAGCACGGCGTGCTGGCCCAGGGGAGGTGGCCCAGCTCGCTTCTACCGGGCTGGGAGAAAAACTCCGTCTTGTTCACTTTGCATTCCCAGGGGATCTAGGGCACTGTCAGGCACACAGAAGGTGCTTAATAAACACTGAATGAAGAACCATGTCTGTCTTGTTCACTCAGCACTTAGCACGTTCAATGGACATTTGTGGAGCGAATGAACAAGGATGAATGGAAACGTCTAGAAACTCTCCATATCTGCACCAAGTCTCCTCACCAGGCTGCCAACAGGATTTGGGATCATCGTAAGCAGTGATGGAATCAGGGAATCATGGGACTCACAGAAATGAGGAGGGCAGGGAGCAGGGTTCAGGACTCTGGCTGGCATGAATGGATCAGGGATCAGCACAAGGCTGGGGTACCACCTCCAAGACTCGCTCGGGGGCCACGTGGGAGCCTTATACCTCCTTCCTGTTTGTTTAGACGGTCATGCCCTGCTATTAAGGGGTTCAGAAAAGAGTGTGCATTGAATTGCTTTGTCTACACCAGTTCTTCCAGAGCGGGTGGCCTTCACTTCACCCACAGCACTCAACTTATCAAAACCAGGCACACTAGGATTTGAAATACCAGCTTCTCAAACTAGGCTTCAGGCCATTTAGGTGTTATGTAGAGACACCTGCTGGTGGACTGTGATATCACAGCCAAGCTCTATAATGCACAGCAAGGCAATGCCTGGAACTTAATACCGGCAGCCAAGTTCTAGGAGCTGTAATGGTGAGAGCAAGTATTTCTAGGTAAGCAATGCCATTCTTGTGACCCAGTAGGAAATAAGAGAGAAGGAAGAGGTCAGCAGAAAGGAGGAGATGCCACAGTGGAAGTGCTATAAAATATTCTCAAGAGGCAGGTGCCTAATCTGTCACAGACTTTTCTAGTTGGCTATTTTTTTCTTCAGGACGACATTCTTGAAATTTAAAAATAACTGCTGTGGAAAGGTCTAGAGAAGCTTCTAGAACATTGGTGGGTGCTTTCCCCCTTGCCAATGATTACTTAAATGTAATGTTACAGACTTTTTCTGAATATTAATTGACCTAATTGGAGATACTAATATTAAGTTTTCATTGTGCTCTGTCTATATGAAAGTGTACTAAGAATTTTGTGTCATCTAGCTTATTTCTAAAGCCTAATTTCAGCAAGATGGCCAGTGAACTCTCATCACTTCTCTTCAGAAGTGTGAACTTGCTTGTGTGCTCGTGCACCAGGGTCTTCACTAAACTGAACTTGACGAGAATGTATTCATCACTAGGGAAAGAAGGAAGAAGCTGTTGAATAGGGCTTCAGGAAACTATATTAAATGACCATTAAGCTTCTGACTTCAATACTTAAAAGCTGAAACAATGAGAATTAATGGTTAAACTCCGCCCTTTACACAGCCTGTGGAATTTACATGTCAGCGTATGTCTGTTGTGTGATTTTATCATATTATTTAATTTTCATGTTGAAGACAAGTTTAACACTTGATTCTGATTTTGAAAACTTTTGTGGTTTAAGCCAAGGCCTTTGATTTTCTCTCCCATAAAGCAACTATGTGATTGTCGATGTTTTGTGGGGAAATGTAGGACTGAATACTCGGATAGGAGCAGTGGATGGGGAAGGGGACAGAACTTCTCTGGGCCTGTGGAGAAAGGAAGGTTTCTTCGAACATGGAACTTCTTCATGTGGAAGCCAGCGACAGAGGTAGAACTGCCAAACGTGGCCTAGGTGCAGTCCGATGTGGTTAGGTAGGAGTGAGTGTGGATAGAACCTTCATCTTGAGCATGGTTCTAGGGTCTAATGTCCAGCACTGTAGCGGAGACTCTAGACCCAACAAACCGCAACTTCCCTTCAGAGCCATGTGGATTGTTTAGTAACCACAGCTGCCCTGCACACAGGCCCCTCCCCCCCGTGGTGCCTGGTAACGCTAACGGCAGTTAGGAATGTGCACACAGAGAGGGGTGTGAAGCAAAAAACTGCTATGGACAAAACTGTATCCCTCCAGCCATCTGTGATGCTACAGGAGGTGGGGCCTTCAGGAGGTAATCAGGTTAGATGAGGTCCTGAGGATGAAACCCTCGTGCTGGGGTGAGTGCCCTTACAAAGCCAGGAAGAGGCCTCTCTCCAGACCCCAACCATGCTCCGCGTCGGTGAGAAAACATGTTTCCGTTGGCTAAGCCTCGCAGCCTGTAGCACGGAGTCACAGCAGCCCAGCAGCCCAATACGAGTCCGAGCAAAGTAGCTTCTCTTTCCAGAAATGCACTACACTGCCAGTCTTGTTCAGAGTCAGCAAGTGAAGAGAAGGGTGGAAAGTCAGGAAGAGAGATGCTCCTTAAACAATCACATGACCTGTTCAAATGTGACGGGGGGATTTTTTTTTTCCTATAGGATGAGCAGAATTTGAGACATTAGCCAAATGACTTGGAAATTCCGGAGACAGATAAGCCTTCTCCAACTCAAGAGTTCTGGCACAGAAACCTCAGGGTTTGGCTGTCAACATGAAATCCCTTCCAAGTTCAACCAAGGAGGCTGGTTCTAACACACACAGTGTTCCAAGGTCAGGTAAAAAAATAAGGCGAATCCCAGCATGGGCTCTTCTCTGCCTGAATGAAGAGAGATGCTATTTTCCACCCAGCGGGGCTAGAAATAAACCCGTCCCCCATCACTGCAGGGTGCGACAGCGGCTGTCACAAATGAGAGCTTCTTGTTCTCCAGACCAGCCCCTCACCGAGCCTGTCTGCCGGGAAGCTTCGTTTCCAGACCAGAGCTGCCCCATCCCTCTCTGCCTCCCACCCGTCCCTCCAGTAAAGGCGCCGCACACTCAAAGCCAGAAACTCCGTGACCAGCCCAGGAGTGGCTGCTCCGCTCTTTTCTAAGAAACATATCATTACCTTCCGGGCTCCGGGACTATTTGCGGCTGTCGCAGGATGCCACGGCTCTGGCCAGTACCCATTAAACCAGACAGTGGAGCTGTAAACAGACCCCTCGGGCAGAGGCCAGAGTTCACGCCACAGCCATCCCGGAGGTGAAGAGAACCCCTCCTCTCCGCTCTTCCTGGCAAGAACGGCATTGGCGCCTGTAAGCTGACCGCTGGCCTTCGACCCAGGGGTCCAGAGCTGTTGAAATCGCTACTGATGCTGCTTGGAAGGACACCTGTGTGCTCTGAATGAACAGTAGCAGAAGAAAGACAGCCGCAAACACTTATCACTGACAATATGCCGGGCACTGTGCTAAGTGCTTTAGACATATTATTGTCCATTCTACACTAATCCTGTAAGGTAGAGAACTATCAGTGTCCGCATTTTTCAGATGAGTAAACTGAGGACCGTGAAAGGAGGCATCCTTTTTTTTTTTTTTTTTAACTTCTGGAACCTCTGCTGGGTCCCCCTTCCCCCATTTTTATCAACCCCCTCAAAACTTCCTGGAGCCCTGGATAAATTAAAGAACTTAGAATTCTGGAAGCTCTGAAGACCACGTTGGTGCAGGTGTGGTGCAGGCTCGGGCTCCTGCAGATGTGGGGGATGATCTTGGGTGGCAGGCAGAAAAAATCAGTATTTGTCAACCCCAGGCCGGTGAGAACCGAACCATCCTGTGTGTTCCCAATCCCACCCTCTCGTTTCCCACGACTGCTCCTGGAGAGGGCTGTGCTCTGGGGAGATGGGAAAGAGCTTTCAGAAGAAAGAGAACCGACTCTGGGAGGGTGGGAGTATGGAAGCGCTGGAAATAGCAGCTGTCACAGCCGCGGACAATGACTGGAGGAAGAACAGAGGCGGGGCTGCAGCTGAGGATGGCGGAGGGATCGGCCCAAATCTAGTGACACTTCCGCCTCCCAGCCCGCACACTGTCCCTCCGCCCGAATGCCTTTCGTTGTGCAGAAAGGTCTGCTCTCTCTTCAAGACCCAGGTCCCACCTTTCTTCCTCCTTCCAGACACCTGAGAGAAATGCTCTTGGCTCTGAGTTACCACGTTCCTTTGTCTAAAGTAAAAGGCAGTTAACGCCCTACAGCATCTTAGGAAGCTGTCTCCCCTGTCCCTCCGACATGTTCTCTGGGAAAGACACCAGGTCTCATTCACTTTGTAATTGTTTGGTATAAGATGAAACAACCTACAATCACTTGTTCTGGGGAAACAGGGTGGGGTACCAGACAATCAAGCAAGCAATCAGGTACCATCCATCCATCCAGAATCCATCTATCCATCCACTCATCTGTCCGTCCGTCCGTCCATCCATCCATCCATCCAGCATCCATCTATCCATCCACTCATCTGTCCGTCCGTCTGTCCATCCATCCATCCATCCACCCATCCATACAGCATCCATCTATCCACTCATCTGTCCAACTATCCATCCATCCATCCTCCATCCATCCTCCATCCTCCATCCATCCAATCCAACCACATGGCCGCATCCCCAAGTGGAGCCCAGGGCCTAGCATACACATCACAGGTGCTCAGTAGGGGTAGGCTGAACACTGAATGAATGAATAGGAGAAAATGGAAAATATTCTTACCAGATTTCTTTTTCCCAGCATGCTCCCTGTACAGGAAAGAAAGGGTGGGAAAGAGCAATGAGTCAGCCCCTGTGGTATATCGACATGTAAGTCTGTTAGAAAATGGAGATTCACCATCTCACAACATCTCCAGTCGAGGAATAACATTTAAGCCAGCCCCAGAAACCCAGATTCCTTTAAAAAAAAAAAAGACTTCTTCTTAATTGTCTCCCTTTCTTTGATAGGTGCTCTGGTGCCCTGGGGAGGAGCTGACGGGTGGAGGGGCACACAGTCTGGAAACAGGAGGTAGGCACCCCACTGCACTGAGCCTGGCGCCCTCCTCGTCAGGCAGTGGGGGCCCCGCCCCGCTTCTCGGGACTGGGAGCAGGAAGTGCGTGGTGGCGGTGTAAGCGGAACACGCTAAGCCTGGGTAGAAGTCTGTGAACAAAGCCCGTCTCCCTCATGGTGACGGGGCACTACTGCGGGCCAGAATTCAACAGCGACTGAGTGATGGCGACCCACTCCCTTTCCCTCGTCAATCATGCAAGCGTTTATGCGCACAGCTGCGTTACAAATGCGGCAGCACAAACCCGGGTTTGCAGAGTACTGTTCGGGAAACTGCTTACTATAAAGGCCGGTATTAGAGAGAGAAAAGGCAAGGCGACAGGTGGCTCGGCTGAGGGAGGTGGTGGAAACAGCAACGTTAGCTAGTGGTTCCTTAATAATCCCCCTATGCTCAGTGCTTTCAATGCACTCTCTTACTACTCATAAGACCCCTACGAAACTGGCACTCTTTTTATGCCCATTTTACAGATGAGGAACATGAGGCACAGACAGGCTAAGTAACTTGCCCTAGGCCACGTGAATAGCACAGCCAGGGTCTGAACCCAGGTCTATCTACTTTTTTTAAACTGAGATACAATTCACATAGCATAAAATTCGTTCTTGTAACGAGTACAACTCACTGGTGTTTAATATATTCACAAGGTTGTACCACCATCACCACTACCTAATTCCAAAATATTATCACCCCCCCCAAAAGAAGGCCCCACACCCACCAGCAGCCACTCCCCAGTTCCACTCCTGCCAGCCCCTGGCCCACAGATCTGAGTGCGGCCTGTGAGGCTTGGTCTGAGCTGGCCCTTGCAGAGGACTGCGATCCTACACTAAGTGGCCCTTTGCGTCTGGCTTCTTTCACGCGGTGAGATGTTTTCAAGATCGTTGTGTTGTAGCCTGTGCCAGCATTTCCTTCCTTGCGGACTTGTCTTCCTTGGGCTTCCAACATGGGCGGCAGTTGTGGGGGAGCCATGTGGGGAATGAAGACATTTGAACTAGCTGACGCTGTCTTGGCTGGGGGCAGGGAGAGGCATCTGCAAGGCCCGCGACTCTGGACTCTGGTCTTCCTGCAGGAGAGCTAGCATCTCCAGGTGGCCTCTCCTTCCAGAGACTTCTCACCATCAGACAGTCAGCTTCTCTGTCCCATCTAGGACAGCTCGCAGGACCCAGCGTCTTGGCCCCGACCTCTATGGAGCCGTGCAAACGGCTGTGTGACTGCTGTGTGCGGGCTCAGGGCGGAGGACATCACGCTCACACCCAAGCCCCACCAAGGTCCTGTGGAGCACACATTACTGTCATCCCCATCTGAGGAGTGAGGGAGTGGACGCTCCTGAAAGTGTCGGAATAAAACCCCACCTCCAGGAAGCTGGGGGAAAGGTCTGTCCCTTGAATGATCAAATATAGCTGAAGTGGGGGTGTCACCACGATTTCAGCCCTCACGATTTCTGAAAACTCAGGGTTGACCACGTCCTAATTCTCTCATTACAACCACCCAATAGCCCCTTAGTATGGGTGGGGCCACGGACGTGCTCTCACTCCACAGGTAAAACACTGAGGCAGGAAGGGAGGGAGGGGACCCAACTGTCCAGGTGTTAGGGGGCCCCAGGGGTGCACTCAGCCAGCTGACCCACCTACAGTGTCAGTGAAAGCTACATGAAGTGAGGCCCAGCGGGGGCCCAATGAATGGAATCCGGTTTATTGCTTCCTTTGTTTTCCTCCGGTTCTTCCTGGGCTGGCTGGGTACGCTCAGGGGAGGTCCACACACCAACTTACTCTTTGGGGGGATTCAGGTCCTCAGGTCTTGTCTCAAAGAACTGCAGCACCTCGTCACACTGGGAGATATAGGGGGGCAGCTGGATCAGGGCCTGGAGAAGAGACACAGGTGAGTGCAAAGGCAGGGAGGGGTGTCGGGAATGCTGTAGGCCGGGGGTTCTCCAGCTTGGGCAGGCGGCAGAATCCGGGAGGAAGGCAGGGGTGCTTGTTAAAACACAGACTACTTGGGCTTCACCCTCAGATTTTCTGATTCACGTCTGGGGTGGGCCTGAAACGTGCAATTTTTTTTTTCTTTTTAAAGATTTTTTAAATTGATTTTCAGAGAGAGAGAGAGGAAGGTAGAAGGAGAGAGAGAAATATCAAGGTGAGAGTAAAACATGATTGGCTGCCTCCTGTACATCCCCTACTGGGGATTGAGCCCGCAACCCGGGCAAGTGCCTTGACTGGGAATCGAACCAGCAACCCTTTGGTGCATGGGACGATGCTCAACCAACTGGGCCACACTGGCCAGGGCGTGAACATGCATTGCTAATGTTCCCTGGTGCCGCTGCTGCTGCTGGTTTAAGGACCACATACACACAGTGCATGCACAGGTGGGGCAAAAGTAGGTTTATAGTTGTGAGCATGCAGAACCGTTCATTCTCATGTAAACAACTGTAATCCTACTTTCGCCTCACCCTGTGTATACACACGTACCTTACGGGCATATCTGAACAAAGACACACATCTCTAGGCAAAGCAATAAACCGACTGTCACGTCGTGTCATTATCCTTCTACCACACCGACTCCACCGGACGGTGGGTGTATCACACTGCATTCAGCTGGCTGCCCACCGCGAACATTCCGGTTGTTGCCGACACGCCTGCACTAAGTCCCGACTCACGGATCCGAAGTCTAAGGTGAAGGGACCGTTTCACAAGTTAGGCAGAGGCGAGAAGTTCCCAGGCCAACGAGGTGGACACCTCCAGGACGCCCTACTGCCCGAGCCCCTGCTCATCTGCCACCTAGCTCATCATGCGAGGAGCCCCAACCGTCGCCGCCATAGGAGGAGGAGGTGGGTGCTGCTTATCTCCCACAGGTATTCGCTCAGTGACTCGCTGGGCATTTTCTTGACGCCCAGCACCGCACTGGTTTCTGTGCCCAGCAGGAGAGAAGTACAGGTACCTGTGACCAGGAAAGGACTGGGAAGTAGACACGGCTCCCCGATGAATCAACAGCTCAGTTGAACAAATATTTGCCTCAGTCCCTCTGGCCCAGGTCCTGAGGACGCAGACCGGAGTGCCATGGGGCTATTCCACGCCCACGCTTTTACCACGCTCTTCTGTGCAGGGACAGGGCCTGTGCGTTTGCACGGGTTTAAGCAGAACAGGCGACCCTGCCGGCCATTCTCCCCAACGGTGGGTGCTCGGGAGAGAGGTGGGACCCCGCTCTCTCCCAGGAAGGTTCCCTGGTGCCTCTCCCGTGCCTTCATGCTCAGTGTGAGTCTGGGATGGAAAAGACATGCCCCGTATCCTCTACATAATGAGCCCATAAAAGCTCCCCTCCCCTCCCTGCAAAGTGATGCTCCAACCCTGCCCCTGGGCTACGATGGATGGATGGAGAGATGGATGGGGGGTCTCCAACATGGCACTTTGTACAGCGTTTCAGAAGTACTTCGACCCTACGTAATTTATTTCTCCAGTTTTCAAAATATTGTAATTGTGGCAAAATACACATAACCTACACTTTACCACCTTAACCACTGTTGGGGGACAGTTCAGGGGCATTAAGCACGTCCACACGGTTGTGCTGTCACCACCGCCACCACCCAGAGAACTCGTCTCGCACACCTGAAACTGCACGCATTAAGCAACTCTCCATTCCCCCTCCCCCAGCCTGGCATCCACCACCCTACTCTGTACGAACTCGACGACTCTAGGAACCTCAGGTAAGTGGAATCCTCCAGTACTTGTTCTTTGGTGACCAGCTTACTTCACTCAGCATCACGTCCTCGAGGTTCCTCCCTGGGTTGGAATTTCCTCCCTTGTCAAGGCTACGTAATATTCCACTGTGTGGCTATACCACATTTTGGGTTGCTGACCCTGTATGACTTTTGAGACAGGCTCTTAATTGAAGCCCCCCACCCCGTGACCTGCCCCAGACCTCAGGTGGGAAAACCTGTGGGGTGGGAGGACCTGTTTGAGAGGGGTGCCTTCCCTGGTCACTGTCCACTCGATCCTGGAGTGAAGGATGCTGACCTGGTCTGTGTGGCTCGCTGACTTTCAAAATTAACCCTGTAGTGACTCCTGTTCTGCAGCAAATCCCCAGGGACCGAGCTTTTCCAGGCCAGAGGCAGAGCGCCCCAGAGGGAGAGCAGGCACCTCCCGCCTTCCGTTCCTGACGGCCCCCCGCCTCCGTCTTCCAGTTCAGAGCAGCCAGTGTTCACTCTCCTGCCCAGGCCGGGCCAGTCCCGGCCCACCGTGGGCGTCTTTCCTCTGAAATCCTGCAGCTCTTGCAGTCGGAACCACATAATGAAGGAGCTGATTACATGCTGGACTGTGGTGTGTCCGGGCTGCTGTGTGTGCAGAAATCGTGCGGCTCCCCAGAAGGCAGCAACAACATCCTTTACGTCGGCTCAGCACTCGGTGGTCCCTGAAATGCTGTCGTCTGGGCCGTTGCGCGTCCTCCTGGGACGCTGGCCCGTTTTAGAGACGGGGAAATGGAGGCTCTGGGGAAAGTGCCCAGGAGTCTACCCCAAAGGCACAGAAGGCAGGGGTATGTGGGTGTTCCTCTTGCGCCTCCCCTACGTGCAGACAGTGCTGGGGAGCCCGACACCTGGTCAAAAGCACTCACTGGATAAATGACATGAGGAAGAGGCCTGAATGTGGCCCTGTTCGGGGCGAGCTGGGTGGGCCCGGAGGTGGCTGTAGTCTCCACGCTGAGGAGGCCTCCCAGGGTGCTCCTTGCTGAGATGGACAGCGGCCTTGAATGGACCACGGGACAACGAGGCCCATGGAAACCTCCCGACGGTGCCAAGTTCTCTTTCGGTTTTGAGCAATTCCTAGGAAGTAAAAGCCAAACCAAACCCCCAAGCCGTAAAACAGGGCCAAGTTACTAATACAAGGCAGCGCCGAGCGCTTTGATGTCTGCCCCTTTCTTTCTGGAAGGACGGGCTGACATAAAAACATGACCTGGGGCAGAGAAATCATTCTGCTTGTGAAATATCCCAGAACTGTCTTGTGGTTGGTCAGTCACATCGGTTCGGTCCCAGATGAAACCCTGGCCCTGTGGCCAGATGTGGCTGGTGAGCGTAGGGGGCAGAGAGAGCAAGTCCTACTGGCTGAGGGTCATCATTAAAGGTCAGACGGATCCAGCTCCCGATTCTGGCTCCGCTCTCATCACCTCTCTGATCCTCAGTGTGCTCGTCTGTAAAATGGAAATCGCTAGCCCTCCTCTCGGAAGGCTGTGCTCCAGAATCAGCGAGGGGGTGGCTGGAAAGACGCCATCGCAGACTCGCTGCTTGATAAACAGTAAGACAACCTGGCGGTTTCTGCATTGTAGCCGGTACGACATACAACACGGCAGTGAATTCCGGATGGTTCTTGCGTCAGCAAGATGACGACGTTAACTAACAAGGCCGGGGCTGGAGCAAGCTCTGTGGTTTCTCGGGGCTCTCTCAACCCTCGTTAACTTCAGAGAGAACGCCCCCGGTAGTTAACACTTCTTTCTCTTTATAGTTCAAAATCTTATCCATTGGGGTAAGAACACTTAACACGAGATCTACTCTCTTGACAAATGTTGAAGTGCACGGTACAGGGTACGGAAGATCCCCAGAGCTTATTCATCTTGCTGACTGAACCTCTGTGCTCCCTGGTTAGTAACATCCCGGGGCCCCCTCCCCGTAGCCCCCCGCACCACCACTCCACTCTTTCCTTCTACGAGCCCGATACCGTGGACAAGGTCTCACAGCATTTACTTTCCTGTGACTGCCTTATTTCACTTAGCAGCACAATGTTCTCAAGATCCATATGGCAGAATTTCCTTCTTTTTATTTATTTATTTATTTTTTTTCTTTTTAATCCTCATCCAAGGACATTTTTCGTACAGATAGAGTGAGAGGGAGAGAGAGGAAGAGAGAGAGAGGGAAACATCGATGTGAAAGGGACACATCGAGTGGCTGCCACCCACACGACCAACCAGGGCCGGGGACAAACTGCAACCGAGGTACGTGCCCTTAGCGGGAACCGAACCCGGGTCTCTCAGGACCGCAGGCGGATGCTCTAACCACTGAGCCAAACCGGCCAGGGCTCCTTCTTTTTATTATTATTATTATTTTTGAATAATATGTTTCCACTTTTGAGAGAGAGAGAGAGAGAGACATCGATGTGAGAGAGAAACATCGATCAGCTGCTTCCCCTGTTAGAGATCAAACCCACAGTCTGGGCATGTGCCCTGACTGGGAATCGAACCTTTGACCTTTGGGTGTACGGGACAACGCTCCAACTGAGCCACATGGGTCAGGGCAGAATTTCCCTCTTTAAATTTTTCCCCCTTTATTGATTTGAGAGAGAGAGGAAGTGGGAGGGAAAGAGAGATAGAAACATCGATGAGAACATCGACTGGCCCCCTCCTGCATGCCCCCCACTGGGGATTTGGCCCACAACCTGGGCATGTGTCCTGACTGGGAATCAAACCGGCGACCTCTTGGTGCATGGACTGATGCTCAAACAGAGCCACACTGGCCAGGGCAGAATTTCCCTCTTTTTAAAGGCTGGATCGTGTTTGGGTGCATGTACAGACCACATTTGGGCTGCGTCCACATCTTAGCTACAGTGGACGATGAGCGCTGCAGTGAGCGTGCGTAAGGGCTCGCCGAGGGTCAGAGGGGTGATGGACAGGGCAGAGCCGGAATCACGAGCTGAATCTGTCTGACCTTTCATCGTTGCCCTTGGCAGACCCAGTTTCTCTTTGAGATCCTGATTTCAGTTCTTTTGGAGAAATACCCAGGAGTGGGAAGTCTGGGTCTCGTGACAGTTCTATTTTTAACTTTATAATTTATTTTTATTTATTTTTAACTTTTGGAGGAACCTCCACGTTGTTTTCACAGCAGCT